TAGTAGTGGTTCGTGAAGGATCGAATGTGATCCGGTCGTCACTATCATATAAGAGGGTACCGGGAATGTTACCAAGGATACTACCAGAGGTACTACCAAGGGTATCATCAGAGGTGTCACCAGGGTGCGACGACCTGTTGAGGTGCGACGACCTGTGGAGCTGCGACGACCTCTAGGTAGCTGGGTACCGTGGAACTCAGGTGGCTAAGCCAAAGGGCTCTGTCGAGGGGACCAAAGCTCGGAAGTAGTCTTGTGCTTAAGTCATGAAGAGGTTCACAGTTTCAAGGACTCCATGGATTCATAATCTTTTGGCCTAATTAGGAGATATACATGAGGAAGACTTCTTGTCTCATTAGGACTCTCCAAACTTCTCCTATAAAAAGGAGCAGGTTCATTCATTTTACACAATACACATACACGAATTATCTCGTTACTCTGCCGTTTTCTTTCTAAAAAAAAGCTCTTGAACCTCTCGTGAGGGAAAGAACTGACTTGAGCGTCAGAGTGTTCGCGCCGGAACCATCCCCGGCGTGCTTTGCAGGTACCGACGATCAAGGAGACGCAATCCGATTCAAGAAGAACGGTCCAACGATTCAAGTATTTGTGGTACAACAATTAATGTAGCATAATTCATATTTTTTTTTAATAATTAGCCGGTCTTATTCAAAAAGCCGAAACGGTTGGTCATAAAATTTCCATTTTTGGAAATCCGAGGTGCTTGCCTGAAAACAAATTTGCCACCTCATTTGGCTTTTATAGGGCAAGTGCTTTTTAATTAGTTGGACCCTTTTCAAATTGTGTGGGTGGTCAATTACGTGTGCTATGCACCCTTTTAATGTATAGCGAAATGAGTTATTTGTGAGCTACGTTTGATTCGACTCATAGTTCGAACAGTCTACGAATCGTTTTTGAGTTACGCTTGATTCGACTCATTGATTGAGTTCAAGCTCGTTCAGTTTACGAACCGAACTCTGGTGTACTTTTTAGTAGATTATGTGTTTATTAACACCTTGTAACTAATATTAAACTTTATCTTGGGTGAATGTGATTGACCTGGTTTTGCATGTGGGCGTCAAATTTGAGACTCAATTTTTACATAAATTGTGCAATTAATTATGTAGAAATATTTACAGTGCTGTAAAAGATCAGATGCCTAATGTGAATGTCCCATTCAACGTTGGCAAACGTCAAATTCATGTCCTTCTCGTCAATGATAAAGAATTGATTCATAGAGAAGAACACACAATATTAAGAAGATATATAGTATCGAAATTCGAACCTGTTGACCAAACATTTTTTCAATAAAAGAGCTTTGATCTAACGGTTACAATTACTACTAATTTTATTTCTATCATGTATATAATATATAAAGAAGAGGCTAAGGTCTCATTACAAAAATATTTTGTCGGGGTTTGTAACTGTTAGATAATCATGTAATCGTCAGAAATAATTGATCTAACAGTTACAAACTCGACAGAATAATTCCGTAACGAGAGCGCAACATGTTCCAATAGTTGTAAACTACAATGTACTCTCACTATATGTCCTCATCAAATATTTTACCATTTCATGGTTTACATTTTTTCACTCTTACCGAGTCACTCTCCAAAATCATCATTACATTTTCGTTTATTTATTCTTTTTTCAGCGCCGGTCTCTTATTAAAAACAACGAAACTCCAAAAACAAAGGTTAATTAGCCACCATTTCAAACTTGCTGACCCTTAACTCTCTCTTTGGACCATGACCTTTACTCCCAAAATATATATACAAAAGTTGCATTTTGTAAAAATAAATGAAATGTATGTGGGGGGAATAAATGAATACAAAAAATATGTTCGAACACAAAAAAAAAATAAAGCAGAAACAATTAATTTAAAAATCTTTTTGGAGAGCGTCCAACTACTCCTCAGAGTTATTCTAGTAATAGACCGGTATGTGCACACAAAGTACAATTTGGACTTACAAAATTCGGATTCTCTCATAGTCTAGCCAACATAATATATGATTCTATTAACTAATCCTCTAGCAGCTAGCTCAGATATACTAATATTTATCCCTAAATACGAAAAATATTTGTAAAAACGAATAACAGGACATAGTTCTTCTGTGATGTAAGAACATTAAAAAATTGAATACAATAAAAACTCGAAAACAAAATCTCACAAACACTCAACAAAATCTATGAATTTAATAAACTCTAGATAATGCATCAACTTTCAATTAAGTATTTGGGTAGGTATATACATTAAGGTAAGGAGTCTTCAATCTTACTTCCTTTTGGGGTTGATTTTCTTCCTTCTTTAAACTCTAGATATGACCGAGATCTTCGTACGTGGAAGTCGATTTCTTCATGTCCAATGTTCCCCGATCAGCTTCCCCTTTTCCTTAAATGCAAGATCTCCGAAAATAACCAAAACAAAGATTATGAAAATAATATCTTCATATACATAAAGTCTATTAAATAACAAAGAGAACTCACTATATTTAATAAAATAGTATCTAGGCTTTAGTAAATAATAGAGAGAATAGATCTTCCCTTTTCATTTTTCTTACTTGCTTAGAACATCAAAATAATTAATTTATGGAACTTCTTGCCAAAATTAAATTCTAACATAAAATATAGCCTTTTTAGCAAATGATGATTTTTAGCTATCTTGGCACTTGAAAAAACCAAAATACTCACTTCATACTTTTTCACATAAATCACTTCCAAAGTTCCAAGAATGATTTCTAGCACTTTCTAGAATTATAAAATATCTTGATTTACAACTAATTTCTTAAATTTTTCAAAAAAATCTGAAACACATAAACAATAAGAGTACGATTAAAAAGTATGTTAATTTATAGCACAAAATAACTATTATTATTATGTTTTAGGAAAAGCTATATTTCATATTTAGTCTACTTCCTACTTTTTTGTTTTTAAATGTCACTAGTACAGAGCCCGTGCGATGCACGGGGTGCATAATTTTAAGGTCATTTATCCATTCTTATAATTATATAAATGAATAAAAAAAATGTACGGGATATATATAGTACGTGACCTGTAATATGCCAAAATGTGAACACGAGTGATGCACGGGGTGCACAATTTTAAGGTCATTTATTAGTACAGAGCCCGTGCGATGCACGGGGTACAAAATTTTCTAGTATGTGTAATAAAAATACATACTGTATGCACGGGACGGAAGCACTAAATGAGTCATTTCCACAGAGCTTGCCCGTTAAGTAACTCCTGAACACGGGTGCACAATTTGTAGTATGTACCATAAAATCAGAACAAAATTCCATACAATTAGATAGTAAATTAGATAATAAATAAAACCTTTTATTTTAGTAAAGATTTTGCGTACATTGTTTTTTACTTATAGGATGTTATGGGATTTTTTTTTATTAAACCGATTTTATAGAATATAATACAAATACAATTAGATGATTGAACAAAATCAGAACAGATTTACATACAATTAGATAATAAAAAGGAATTAGATAAGGAAAAGAAGGAATTAGATAAGAATAATAAGGAATTAGATAAAGAATTTTGGATCTGACTTTTTTTTTTTGGATAGATAGACTTTACGTACAAATTTTGACTTCACTGATTTTATGGGATTTATTTTGACAAAATCGATGTTAATATGGAATAAGACAAATAAATAAAGTCTTTTTATTTTAGTAAAGATTTTATGTCTTTTTATTTTTACTTGTCATATGTTATGTGAATTTTTTTTCTTAAACTGATTTTATGGGATATAAGACAAATAAATAAAATAATTAAATAAAATTCTGGATAGAAATAGCAACGCATTAATTACGTTGACTTTTCAATCTACTAACTTGGTAAATAGGATACCTTATATCATAAGGATAGATACAAATAAATAACATGACAAAATTTTAAAGAATAATTAATGTATTTTAATTTATTATCTAGCTATCAATAATCTCATTTAATGATGTGATCATTATCTCTTAAATGATAAATAAAATATTAATTTAAAAAAATATTTATTTTTTATATACTCAAATAAAAATTAAAAAATACTATCGACAAATATGAATTATAATATATATCAGTAAAATAATTGCAGAAGTTAATAAAATTATTTAAGGAAAGAATCTTTTTGATCATATTTGAATAGAAAATGTATATATGCAAGCAATTAATGCATATAGTAAAAAACTTCTAAATAAAGTATGCATTAAATGTGAGTTGACTTTTTTTGCTACTATTTTTGGTAAATAGTATGACTTTTAATATAAGTATAGATTTTAAATTATCAACAATTAACTAATAAATGACGTTTTTTTATTTTTTGTACATATTTTTTACTATTACTGTCAATTTAGCTAATAAATACATTACGTCTTTTCATATTCACTCTTAATTTTTTTCTCAAAACATTTATCTCTATCCTCATTTATAAAAGTTATTATTGATAAAAAATACTCTACTATTAATTATTATACAACTTCTCACAACTAAAATTATTAGTATTTGCCATCTACTATTAATTATGGGGAAATGTTACAGTCCCGTTACGGAACCATTCTGTCGGGATTTATTAACCGTTAAATCATCATGTAACCGTCGTGCATAGTTGATCTAACAATTACAAATTCCGATGAAATGGTTCCGTAACAGGACTATAGAATATCCCTTAATTATTATGCAACTTCTCCCAACTAATATTATTAGTATTTGCCATTTACGAAGGCACTCTATTAAAAAAGAACCATAAGAAGAATTCAAACCGTCACCTCTGAACGGCTGACCCCCGAACATCACAGTCAACCTTGACTGCACTCGAATACTCGATAAACCAAATCAACGCACACGTACGTGCCACGTGTCTCGTACCTCCCACACCCCAATATAAAAACCGGCCAAAAACATTCTAACACCCCAAAAAAAAAACTACAAGATAAACAAAGAAAAAAAAAAGTCACATACAATAATACATTACAATCTTAAAACTCAGTCTCACACATATATACATGGACCCACCGGAGCAAAGGGAGGTGAAGTACCGTGGCATCCGCCGCCGTCCGTGGGGCAAATACGCGGCGGAGATACGAGACCCGAACCGAAACGGGGCCCGCATATGGCTCGGAACTTACGACACGGCCGAGGCCGCCGCCCGAGCCTACGACCGGGCGGCCTACGCCCTCCGGGGCCACCAGGCCATCCTCAACTTCCCCAACGACGGCCATTACCGAGACGGACCCCTGCCCGGATTCCTCTCGGGCAGCAGCCGAGCGGGTTATTCGGCTGCCCGCGGCGGTGGCGGGCAGCTGCACGACGAGAGGGTCATCGAGTTCGAGTATTTGGACGATAAATTGCTCGAGGATCTTCTCGACGGTTCACAATAGATCAATATTATTATATCTTTTTTCATTTTGTTTTTTACTTTTGTTGTTGCAAAAGAAGTTTCATACTTTCATATATATAAATATACATGTTTTTTTTGTGGTGAATGTATGTATGTATGTGTGGACTGGATTAGGTTTTGGTGCGAATGTATGCGGTTTCGATTTTTTTGTTTCGCGCGAGCATCTGATTTTTGATCGGGTCGACTGTGTTGTGTTTCCCTTAACTCGTGCGGATAGACGAATATTTATGAATAATGCAATTGGAAACTATAGTGCATTTAATAAAAAAAAGCCTGACTCGGCCCATTTTGTTAAGGCTCGAGTTATGCTCGGCTTGTTTGAGTTCAAACTTATTTACAGCTCGTTTGGTCAACGCTCGATTCAATAAGGCTATAAAAGAGTATTTTTATATAAATTTCTATAACTCAGCTCGTTAATATTCTCGAGGTCGGCTCGTCATGGCTCAAACTTGTCTCGTTATTAGTGATAAACAAGCCGAGCTCGAGCTCGATTTCAGGTTTGCGTTATTAGAGGTTTTGGTGCATGCGTATGCATGAAGTTTCGATTTTTCGTTTCATGCTAACATTTGATTTTATCGGTTTGATTGTATTGCGTCATCATAACGCATGCCGATAGACGAATATTGATGAATAATGTGACTGGAAAGTAATGAAAAATCGATCTCATGTATGATCTAATTCTGGTTTTGGTTAATTTGTCAATTCAAGCTAGTGAATTTTTCTTAACATTTTTTCCCGTACCTGAGTAAATTTCACTTTGTACTGGTGTAGCTCAAGTTTTAGTCTAAAACAAAATTATCTTTGTCAGGTGGATTTCACAATCCATCATAACTCTTTCATTAGATAAATATTTAAATCTTTTTAATTGTTTGGGAATACAAAGTGATTTTCTAAAGTAAAGGACGAGATTGTGTTCTTGTTGGCCTGTTGGTTTGGAATGGCTGCTTGGAAGATTTGGCATGCCCGAAATATGAAGATTTTTCAAGGGAAGGTCTGTACAGTTGACGTGAAGATACAGGAAATTACGAAGGTTGTTGCGGGCATTGAGGCTGCTATTTCGTCGAACAGGAGACTGGGATGAACAGGTTTTGTGAGAAAATGGCAACTCATCAAATGGGGGCCTCCCGAGTCGGGCTGGTGGAAAGTCAACTCTGATGGGACGTTTGATAAATTGTTGGGTTTAGCCGCAGCGAGAGGTCTTATTCGCGACTCAAATGGGGATGGGTTGGTGGATTCACGCATAATATTGGCCTTTGTACAATTTTTTGGGGCATAGCTTTGGGGTTTATACCACGGGTTACGACTTGCATAGGAGCTGGGTGTCGCAAAATATTAGCTGAGGTTGACAACTCTAGTACTGTTCAAATGGTCTTGAACAAGGAAGAACCTACAGGAATGCGTAGGGGTTTGATTATGGCTATCAAGGACCTCTTGAGGCGCATTTAGGAGGTGGTGATTCGTCACAACTATAGGGAAGCCAATTACGCAACCGACTATCTAGTCGCACAAGCGGCGTTGGGTTCGCTAATTACGCAACCGACTATCTATAGGGAAGCCAATTACGCAACCGACTATCTAGTCGCATTTAGGAGGTGGTGATTCGTCACAACTATAGGGAAGCCAATTACGCAACCGACTATCTAGTCGCACAAGCGGCGTTGGGTTCGCTAAGATATTTGAGTTACACGATCCACCAAATGGGGCTAAAATTTGGTTGGAACATGACTTAGCGGGTGTTGCTCATCCGCGTAGTATAGTCGTGTAATGTCCTCTTCTATGCCTGTAGCCTCCATCATTGTACCTAAAAAAAACTTTTTACTTTTCGATAACCAATATTGCATAATGAAATAAAACAATTTATTGAACATCCAAGAACATTTACATCAGATATATATTATATATACATTATGAAAATCAAAACACTCATGACATCAAATAATTTGTACACTTCAAGTCACACATACACAAACTACTTCTCAATCTCCACACAATGCATGATATTATTTACACAAACCAAGATATACAAAAGCAGGGGAAGAGGGTTCAGTGGGGCCCATCTCAAATATGTCTTTATATATGTACTATTTTACATACATGTTGACTTTAGCTACACATTTCAAGTCTTCTTCTTGAAAAGTTCCAGTGTGGACTCAGCATCACATTTACTCCCAGTGAATTTGTTGAAAAATTCTTTGTAGGTAAAGCTTGTGTAGACAGGGTCATCATTGTCCCCTGCAGGGTTCTGTTTGGCAGGCTGGATAAGGACATGGTTTGATGGGATTAGGAACGTCCCTATCGTCGTGCGAGACTCTTTTTGATGCGTTATCACACGGTGGATTGGGCTGGAAAATCTTCCGTTACTAATCACCTGTCGTCGTAACATTTGATGGGCCGCGAATTAACGAATGCAAATGAGGTAGGGTTCTAATAAGTTCTTTTAACTTACATTCTAAATATACTAGTAGCTAAATTGCATTTCTAGGCATGTTGCTATAGTAAAATAAAGTCAACAATTTTGGTCAATGTTCATCATATTAGACAGCTTAATCATTAGACAAGTCAGCTTATCTTATTTAACTTCGTATAATCATTGATATCAAAAGGCTTCGTTACGTATTTTTTTGTAATTACCTTAAGTTGGAGTCCCGGGATGACGATTAAGCCATTAATTAATGGCTCGATATTCATCCATTGACCGTTGTGAAAAACTTGTAGGCCGGGAACATGACACTGATGGAGCATGGTTATGAGGTTTGGGTCCGTGTGCTCGGGCATGCCAAGTGTCAAGCTCGGATTGGGGCACTGAATATGATGATTAACGGACAATAATTGGATTCCGCTAAGTTCGCCATTGAAATATCCCCGTTTTAGCCCCAATCCTTCGGAAATAAAATCCAAAATCTTTAATAGAAACTTCCTGGCTTCAGTTGAATATGCACCAACTACTTCTCTGAAGGAAATAAATGCAACATTTTAAAGAATAAATTTGATTGCACTCTAATTTTTGTTGACTCGGTAAACCGTTAGGCGAGTTGACCAGTCATTTTCTTTTGAACTAAAATGCGTACTTATAGCGCTAATTCTTGAATCGATATGCAAATGTACCTATATCTGGTTGGTTTTTCCGGCCAGAGATGGATTTGGTCTTCGAGCGGGTAACAATGGTGGGTGAAATTATCCCTCCAGTAGTGAATTTCTTCGTTGTCGTAGTTCATCGTGCTCGAGTAAATTCTGCATTTTTTACTGATGTCCACAGAGTAAAACTTCTTCTTGTATTCAGCTGGCATCTCAAATAGCTCCTTGAAGACATTCATGGTGTCAGCCATTAGGATCAAAGGAATTTGATGGTTGATCACCTGCCAAAAAATTACTAGAAAATAAATAAAAAAAATAGTATTGCGCTAAAAATATTAGAAATGTTGACCTGAAAGAACCCGAATTTTCGGATTGCGCTAAAAATATGCCGAATTATGTCTCCTCTGTTGTTCCCTTCCGCCATTGCAAGATCGATTATAGGTATGTCGTTCAGAAGCGGAAAAACGTGTTTTCCGGGCCGTTTATCGGGCGGGAATATGTAATTTTCAGGCGTAGTTTGAACATCGTTCGACCAGTTTGACATCAGAATCTCCATTTTTGCTCTGACTTAAAACTTCATAATCTTCAAAGGCAAAGATGCTCCTAAGACATTTTATGTTGGTTTTTTCATGTTGTTTATTGCATGAGAATAATTAATAATTCTTTGTGTATTTATTTTATTGAAAACAAACAATTGGTTCCCAAATTTAAATCAAAATTGTTGTTTGTTGTTATAAGGCTAGGGTTTATCGTGATTTTTTTTAATAAATAAAAAACAAGTCTAAATCATGATTATTGAAAGGGGACCATTGTACTAATTAATCTAATAAACCACCAAAATTATGAGCATGCAACATTTTATTTAACATAGTTTGACAAGTTATTAAAAGGGGACCAGCGTACGAATAAATCTTTATTAAGTTCACATTCAATGTTCAATGAAGATGAGGGTTTATTCATGAATTCTTCTTTAAGCCGTGATTTGTTTGTATTCAACTAGAAAAGCCAAGATTCCAAGCCTGTCACTATTACATATTTCATTAATTTTGTCAAGAGAACAGGAAAATACTCAGACACACATAATTAATATTCACTAATGACATAATGAAACATCAATAATGGAGGAAGGAACCGACAAG